GGTAATTTGGAACTCGAAACTGGACTATTTCAGTAGTTGCTACTTTCAAATTGTATACAGCTATTTCAAAAGGAATTCGTGAAGGTTTTGTCGTATGTTGAATACCAAACCCGAGCTACACCATTGGCGATTTGAATACAATATGCGAAAGGTCACAACAATATGAAATTTTCCTAATCTTTGTCTGCACGTCTTTGAGGCATATTTTCGTCTGTGCTGACATTACTACATATCAAGAAAATTAATTTCAAGCTTACGAAGCAACAGGCAACATGAACAATGCAACAAACTTTTTTGAAATAGCTGTTAACGTTTTGGTACTTGTAAAATTAGAGATTGTGACTCGATTTAGGTCGTCGTTTAATTCAAAAATAACTAAAAATCTAGTAGTAGATCAGGTGACTATATGCCGCCATGTTGGATACTCGCGTTCTAACATAAACGAATTTATTTTTTTATTATTTTGAATTTTAGGCGTTTGAAGTTGATTCGAGTACGAAGGCCAGAGAGTTCTGTTCGATCGTCGCTCAACGTCTCGGACTCAAGTCTTCTGATGGATTCAGCTTATTCGTCAAAATTACTGATAAAGGTGGGTAATCTACTATATATAATGTATAAGGTATAATGATGAAGGAATCTACGTCACGTGATCAATAACCACCCATCCATTCACTCCCTTCCATCCATCCATCCATCCATCCATCCATCCATCCATCCATCCATCCATCCATCCATCCATCCATCTATCCATTCAACATCCATCCATCCAACATCCATCCATCCATCCAACCACACACTCGTCCGTCTATCATGTATCCGTCGATCAATCTACCCATCCATCAATCAAATTCTTCCATCCAATCGTAGTGCAAGATATTTATAGCAGATTTTCTATTCCAGTCATCAGTGTCCCAGAAGGGGATTTCTTCTTCGACTTTGTCAGACACTTGACAGAATGGCTGAAGAAAGCAAGACCTACGAGAGACGGTTTGTACTCGTAACGAAACCTAACATCACCGTAACTATAGTAATCATTACCATGGTAATATCCCTGGCAACGTTATATCTGAGTTTTGTTTGAGCCACGTTTATTACTATGTATACAAACACCTGTTTCAGAAAACATTGGCGGTCGGAGATCTGAGATGGGCGATCTAAAACTGAACGGACTTTTTGTGCTTTTATGTTTTCTGCCGTTAAAATACGAAACATCACATTTCTAACACAAAGCTCATTATAATAATAATGATGACTTTATTGGTATAAACTCAATTAATACCAATGCATTAGTTTTCATTGAGGCCACAAGAAAACATATTACTCCGACGAAGGACTAGCGTCCGAAACGTCAGTAAGTTTTTTCATCTTTTCACGGTGTATAATTTACCTTTTTATCATTACTGTTTCATTAGAAACACCGACGCAGCTCACACTAGTTTTTAGCTAGTTATATCTTCTTATATAAAAGATCATATAAAAGATCATCATTCATCATATTCCAGTGTAATACGAAACTACGTTGTTCGGCTTTAAATAATTTACATTTTGCAGCTTGCTACTCGGTCCGAGATTTCAGATCTCCGAGCGACAACGTTTTTTTGTAATAGGAGTGTAACACTATGCTAGCCGTTGTTACTTGCACTATACGAAACCTCTCATCACCGTAACCATGGTAGGAAAACAATAGACCTCTTTACCTTCGTTGTTTGTTGTGGACATTTCAGACCATGTGATGAAACTCTTGGGAGTTGATTCTTTCATATGTAAATATTTTAAAATGTCAAAAAAGAACAATTCTCAAGGGAATGTCACGTGGTCTGAAGTGGGCAATTTGCTAAAGAGGTCTAATTAAATGGCAACTTAATCTGTGTATTTACAGTCACGCCTATTACTATGCATATCACTATGGTAACCGTTGTTACCCCCTGGTAACCATTTGGCAACTCTTTGTCACCAGGTCAGCTTCCCAACCTGACATATCAAGTGTTCTTCATGAAGAAGCTCTGGATTAACACAGTGGTCGGTAAAGACAACGCTGCAGATTGTATCTTCCACTTTTACCAGGTATTGAACTCCTACCACTAAAAATAGTAAATAAGAAATAAATCAGCCTTTACCGTGTTCTATTCAGTATAACAGCATTCAGGAGGGTTAAAACTCGTTCAGGTATATATTTTATTAGCTACTTTGAACAGCTGTGCTCTTTTATGCCATTTTTTTCATATATTAATTTCATGACTATTTTTTCAAACAATTTGTTGTTGTTGTTGTTTGTTTGTTTGTTTGTTGTTGCTGTTGTTGTTTCTGCTGTTGTTGCTGTGGTTTTCGTTATTGTTGTTGCTGTTGCTGTGTTGTTTCTGTTTTTGTTGCTGTTGTAGTTGTTATTGTTGTCGTTGTTGTTGTCTGTTTGTTTTTTGTTGCTGCTGTTGTAGTTGTTGTTATTGTTATTGTTGCTTTTGCTGTCGTCATCGTTGTTGTTGCTGTTGCTGTTGTTGTTGTTGTTGGTCGTGGTGGTAGATTTGTGGTTGTTGTTGTTGTAAGGAAAGGTAAAGGATTCACCTTGTTGCTTGAAATGAGAAAGTGTCTGTTTGAATCTAAATTTTAATAAATTACTGGTTACTTTGAATCCTAGGAGCTGCCTAAATATTTAAGAGGCTATCACAAGTGTACGAAAGAGGAAGCTGCACAACTTGCTGCTCTTATCTACCGAGTAAAGTTCGGAGAAGACAAACGAGAGTTTCAGAATATTCCGTAAGACATCATTAACGTCGTTTTGTCGGTTTGAATATCATTGCTTTGTGGTCAGAATTACTTTTACTTTAGACGTACGACAACGTGTCCTTCTCTTGAGAATAAGATTCTTTGGTTGAGTTGTATCCATATTTCATGTGCCTTTTCATGCACTACCTTTAAAGACGATGCCAAAGGGATTAGTAGTTAACTGGCAATTGGCTAAAAAAAATAGTAGTTACTTGACAAATAACCTAACATTAGTAGTTAACAGTTAATTGATATTTCATTATAATTTGGTTAATATTATGGTGAGTGCTCGTAAAATTATTAACAGTTAACTGATATTCGGCCGCAAAAATTAGTAGTTAACTGACAATTGGGTATACCCCCATTGGCACCTTCTGTAAATGAATAAATGGTAGTCTAGGGAATGACACGTGGTGAAAAACATTATGCCTATGGTAAAGAGGACTATAGCATGCCCACCTTTGGATCTGCAAATTTAGGATAGGGCTTGCTTTGAAGTTTGATGAAATTGAATTCTTTATTTGCTTTTAGCCCTAAGACTTTGTTGCTCTTTTTAGTAAAATGTTGAAGGAACTCGTGTCGCAAGATATCATGAAAGAGCGTTCTCCTGATGAGTGGAAAAGGGTAAGACATTAGAGCTATCATATCTGCCAACACACGCTGCAATATTAGACTTTGCGGCAGAAAAAAACCAGAAGCGTCTATCCAGCTGAGTCAGACCGCGTTTGAATTGATTCAAAAAAAATGTCCGCCAGATTATCTTCTGAAAAGATTATCGTGTATCGTATGTGTATCGTAATGAGCCACAATCATGTGACTCCTGATTAATAGAGGTAGATGGGAGGAGGGGGAGGGAGGAGTTGAGGGGGGAGGGGTGGGAGGGGGGAGAGATGGAATAAATATTAGACAAAAATGCAAAGAACTTATTCTATTCTTTTTATGTTTAGGATATCGTCGCTGCATTCAACAAACACACTGGAAAAACCAAGAGTGATGCTAAAGTTTCGTTTTTGAAAATCATCCAAAGATGGCCGACGTTTGGTTCAGCCTTCTTCGAAGTCAAAGTAAGAATCTTGTTATTGTTCGTTGGCTCATTCTTTAGTCACATCGTAAATCTAGCGTTATTCAGCTTCTGCTTTGACGCTAAAGAAAGTGGCCGCCTTACCGGGCATCTTTCTTTCCTTTTCTTTCCTTTTCTTTACTTTTCTTCCCTTTTCTTCACGTTGCAACATTTCCTTTCCTATCTTTTTGAAGGAAATCGCAAACAGTTAGACGGATACCTTTAACAAACTGGTACGCTTTCTTGGTGCACACTGGGCATTCTGTTGCTCTTGGCGCAAGTCGAATTGAACACGGCAGTATTTTTACCAGTTCTTATCTTTTATGTTTTTTTTTCCTCTCCAGCAAACAACAGAACAGAATTTCCCTCAGCTTCTCCTCATCGCTATCAACAAGAACGGTGTCAATCTAATTGATCCCAAAACCAAGGTATGTTAACCAGGGCAAAAGACACCTGAATATAGGAAAACTACTTGGTGTGAGGTGTGCTAATGCCAATATATGTGTATAACTGGGGCTAATCACAGTCGAAGGTATTCCTTTGAGTAATTTTCCTTAAGTGACCAAGTCTAAAATTATACTAATGTAGGATATTCTTTGTCGCCTTTGCAGGAAATCTTAGCGACATATCCATTCACGAAAATCTCAAACTGGAGCAGCGGTAATACCTACTTTCACATGACGATAGGAAATGTAGTGAAGGGCAGTAGATTCCTGTGTGAAACAGCTCTGGTTAGTATCGCCCATTAGTTTTTATGAATTGCTCACGCTGATGATGATGGTGATGACGATGATGATGATGATGATGGTAATGACGATGTTGATGATGATAATGGTTGTGATGATGATCTTGATGATGCGGATGATGATGATAATGTTGTTGTTGATGATGAATATGGTTGTGATGATGATAGTGGTGATGATGATGGCAAGGATGATAATGGTGTTTATGATGGTGATGATGGTGGTGGTTGTTATGATGATGATGATAATAATAATGGTGATGAGGGTAATGCTGATGCTTAATGCTGATGAGGGTAAACTAGACTGGTGATGGTTGTACCAAGAGTAATGACAACGACCATGATGATTGTGAAGATGAGGATAATGACAATGGTGATTATGTTAAAAATAAATAGATAGTGATGGCGGTGGCGGTGGCGATGATGATGATGGTGATGATGATGACGTTAAAGCGAAAGGTTATTTTTTGATGACAATATGAAGGTGATTGTGATGATATATTAATGGTTTTAACCATTAATATAATGCATTATAATGCATTATGTCTTAAAAGATATGATGCATTTATATCATGACAAATGCCATTATACCATGCAAATGATATCAACTATGTTTTTCACTCTCAGGGCTACAAAATGGACGACTTGTTAACCTCGTACATCTCTCTTGTTCTCTCCAACTTAAACAAGCAACGAAAACCTCCAACGCTTCGAGGAGTCAGGAAATAAATTCTCAATACACATTCCAGAAAATGCCAGTATCGCCATTCCCTCGTCTATTTATGCTTTAAATGTATTTATTCGTAGACGTTTTAGTGAATGATTTAAAGCAGTAACTGTGAATACTGCTTTCTCTCCATGAATGCCATGTTACGCGACTTGTAGTGCATTTTGATCGAGCTAACGTCGCGTGACCGACATTTTTATTGTCACGCAACAAGACTATGCAACTTTGTCAATACAAATTTGTAGTGTTTTTATTGCGAATTTCTTGTTATAAAACTGAAATTGCCAACATAAACGCATGGCAAAACAATCTCTTAAACAATTTAACTAAGTTTTTCCTCGTTTTAGTGACTTTTTTTCCTTCGTTATAATTAGTAATTGTGTGACGGAGTGACTCGTGTAACATGGCCTTCTTACGTTATTTATAGTCACACAATGCACCGAAATAAAAGTCAAGAAATGAACACTTAGAACATAGTTCACTTAACAGCACGGGCAATTTCGTCACGTAATCTAAAGCATTGCGTCATGGGATACCATTGTAGAAAACACGTCGCCTTTTTATCGAGTAAAAACCCTACAATGCACTGCGCGTCACGTCAAATCTATACAATAGCTTTCGAAAAATAAACTCACAAAGCAATTTTAAATAGACAGGAGAACAGATTTTTAGATATAATTAGAATTTCGTGACATTTACATAAAGCTCTACTTTGGGATCATTCATTTACGTCATGCGAGGACCTACCTAATGCCTATTAATGTCTTAAGCAATAAAGCCCTTTTTAATCTGCTATATATTTCGTTATAAGAGCTTACTTAATTTTCTTAACGGGATATTCTCGTAGTAACTTTATCGTTTAATATGTAGGTGTGATAGAGAAATAGACTGTGACGTCACTCAAAATCGTAGAATCTAAATTTGCCCAAAGAATGACTTTGCATTGCAAAGAAACTTTACTAAATATAGTTCGAGATCAAAACAGCTTCAGTGGGTTTTATTTTAAGTTGAAACAAGAAAAAGCTCCCTAAATTCCTTGCATTGACAGTAATAAACCGCGACTCAACGTGGAGGTCCCTCTAAATAATTCGCAGACCAGAAAATGCATCGCCATTGCCTTTCAAAGGCCAAGCCTGCGTTGATAATGATATTTATATAGTAATATTTATCACTTTAAACATAACAGCTGAATATTGAATCCTATTCACTCTAGAATTTTTAAAATGTCTAATATTAGTTTATTAATTTGCCTTATTTTGTAAGTTGTTAAGAAAATAAAATGTCATTTCTTTATTGGCTCTCATTTTGTTTTTGCGACACTGCTAAGGTGGCTCCGCTCACCTCAGTGCTATGGTCCGCTTTTTTCTCAGTTGGAGTGTTGTACCAGGAAACTTACAAGTTTAACTTTATCTTCCTTTAATGTACGTTTTTCAAAAATACAACGTAAAATTAACCACTTTATATTGGACGGTAGATACCGTAAAAACGTCATAGTCCCCTTAGTCGTCAACCTGGCTTGTTTTCTTTGGACGCCGCATCTTAGTTTTCTCTCCCTGGGCATGACGGGAGCACAGGCAGTCCGATCGCGCGACCCAGGTTACCCATACTGGCACTTGGTTCGAGCTCCGACGGATCGCACTGGATTACATGTGAGTTAAGTTTGTTTGTGTAGTGTTCTCTCCCTTGCCACGAGGGTTTTTCTCAGGTTTTCACGCTACGACTCGAGTTGTAGGATGGTGCGAGCGTGTTGTATACGATAGTTGTAGGCGAAAATCGTATCGTCTAAACCGGCCTTAAAATCCAACATGTGACTTGAGTGTTGTATGAAGGTCAATGGGGCTAGTAGTTAACTGACCATTGGCAAATTATGGCCAGCGCTCGGCGTAAATATATTACAGTTGACTGACATTCGGCCGAACAATTAGTAGTCAAATGACAATTAAGTACCCCCATTGGCACCCTCTTGTATGGCGTATATTAAGTGTAATTTTTTACTTTAATTTTCTTTCCTAAAATTTAGGCTCCGGTCAAACGTCGAACTTCACCGCCTTGTTATCCATTGTTTCAATCAGGTTCGACTCATGAAGTTCGTTCGACGTTTGACCTGAGCCTAACTGTCCCATTGTTTTCCATTTAATTCTGATCAATCGAGCAAGGGTAGGATTAACCGTATTTGCCGACTCTTAAAATCAAAAGTTTGATCCAAAAAATATTCGATACTAAAAATAAAGTATCAAGCACGAAGAAAATCAAGCAAAAAGATTGGAAGAGATGTATTTTGTTTCTGTAAGTATCTTTTGCTTGCTCGTGGCTTGTATTTGATCAGTACTTCCTAATAGTTGTTTAGCCTGTTTTGTTCGTTTTTTCCCCCTTCTATTCGTTGATTTTCGAGAAAAAAAGCCATATTTTTTTAACAAACACAAAAATAAGTCAAAAATTGGAAGTGATGGAGCACTAAATTCTCCCTACCAACACTTATCAAACGCGACCAATCAGCTCGCTTGAATTTTTTAGCGCGGCCGCCAGCGCGTTTACACTCATTCACAAACTTTGCCAAAAGAACGTTCGAAGACTCTCGAAAAATCCTTGAAGATTCCATCTTTTTTCTTCTGCCGCCAAGAATCATAACCCATCAAAAATGAAGAAATAGTATCTAGCTAAATCTTCAAGAAAAAAAAGATATAGCAAATATGATTATAAACACTCAAAATCCGATCTTCAAGATTACAACAGACTCAAGCCGTGTTATATAGACGTCGACCAGAAGCAAGTCTTGGAAAGAACTCTTCAATTCCTGTCGTAGGAGAACACTTACAAGCTTTTACTAAAAGTTGGAACTAAAGTAACATCAGTATATCAACATAAAGATGCATGTAAACATTTCAAGAAGCTGGCTCTATTAAAACCATTTTTGTCTTCTCTTACACTTCGTTCACCAAAGGTAAGCATTTACAATTGCTTAGAATTGTACAAAAAAAAACATTACTTTTCAAAAAGTACTGCAATTAGTAATTGTATGTACAGTTGTATATTAATAATTGTATGCATATTAAATCTTGTTATAGTTGTAGTCAAGCAATGTAAACATGATTTCTAAGAATATTTCTAAGAATTTTTCATTTACCACATAAGGAATATTTTTTATTTTTCGAATCAAATATTTTTTGCCAATCAGGAGGGAGACCTCAGCGTGAGCAAAGCTCTGATCGCTGAAAAAATATATTATATTATTTTATATCTTTCTTGAAAGTTTCGTGGCACAAGTTTATTTAAGGAATATTTTTTATTTTTCGAATCAAATATTTTTTGCCAATCAGGAGGGAGACCTCAGCGTGAGCAAAGCTCTGATCGCTGAAAAAATATATTATATTATTTTATATCTTTCTTGAAAGTTTCGTGGCACAAGTTTATTTAAGTTTCTCTCAATAGTTTATTTTTATTTACATGCATGTTCTCTACTTAAAAGTAATTACAACCACAGGCTATCATGGGCTTATTTCTCCCTTAAAGTTTATAAGTGCGAGAGCTGTAATGAATTTAGTATGAACAATCTAGTTGGATAGCTGTAGAAAATTTTGAATGGTCCCCTTCAAGATGAGCTTGCAATCACATATCAATAATAGGGATAATAGAGACCTTTTTTTAAACACCTTGGACAATTATTCACATGTCTCTATCATTGCAAGCTCACCGTTCGTCTCGCTTCGATGCAAAGGCACGGCTACCTTTCAATGTGGCGCCAGAAGTGTGAAGGGGACTACTACAGAAATTTCAGAAATTCAGAAAAGAGCCTTGTCAAAAAGCAAGGCAAGCGTTATTGCTTCGATTTACAAGATTTCTTTGACTATTGTCGGGCCAATCAGAATACAGGATTTCAAATAGTTCACTCATTTTTTGATACTGAATTAACAATTAGACTTGTAGACCATGAGGGCGAAAGATCTATCACTTATTGACCACTAGTAGTCTTAGCCAATCAGAATGCAGATTTGTAATAATATTTGTTTAATACTAATAGACCTATAGTAGCATAGCCAATCAGAATGTAGGATTCGTAATATTCTACTAGTTTGTTAATAGTAATAGAGACTGCTAGTGGTATAGCACCAATAGCACCAATAAACCTATGTTAGCATAGCCAATCAGAATGCAGGATTTGAAATAGTTCACTAGCTTGTAAATATTAATAGAGATAAGCTTTCTACTGGCTGGATAGCACCAATAAACCTATGTTAGCATAGCCAATCAGAAAGCAGGATTAGTAATAGTCCATTACTAAGAGTTTGTAGCCGTAAAAGAGAATGAACTTGAGCTCAGGCAATATTCGTTTCCATAATTCAAATCCAAAAAAATGGATGGATGTATCGATTGATTGTAAGGAAGGAAGGAAGAAAGGAAGGAAGGAACAAATGATCTAACGAACGAACAAACGAACGAACGAACGAACGAACGCGAACGAACGAACGAACGAACGAACGAACGAACGAACGAACGAACGAACGAACGAACGAACCAACCAACCAACCAACCAAAGAGCGAACGAACGAACGAAAGTACGAAAGAACGA